CAATTGACTAACAGCCAGATTCCTACTTACTGCTGGGTAAACAGAGGCGTGTGGAATAAGGGAAACCTGCCTAAGATCTTGCCCCACCTGGGAATTAAACCTGGGTCCTCTCTCTTGCGAGGGGAGCACTCTGACCAATATGCTACAAGACTCCAGACTGTATGACACCAACTCAGCCTTGGAACCATTCCCCAGCAAAATTTAAACCCCTTCGGGAGAGGATGCGAATAACACAGTTGAGTACAAGGAGCACAAAATAGGAGGAGAGAGAGAAAAAAAATAATTCATGTATATTGCATTTCAATTTGAGATCATTCCTCTCCGTTCACTGCCTTACGTTAAAATCATACCAATTGTTGCAACCCGTTATCAAGCAAGATAATTACAAGTCAAAACAGTGATTAAATTTAAATACGAAGTGTACTATTATTATCCCCAACACACGCTGTGAATTGATCTGGTTGCGAGCCTGAAACAATCCAGGAACACCTGAAAACCGCATGAAATCCCCCAAATATTGAAGTGAGAAGAGTGTAAATATGCATATATATACATATACACATACGTATTAAAAATAAAGCATTGCAAATAGTTCAGTGACCAAACCAACACCAACAAACAACAGCAGAGAGCTGATGATACCCTGATATAAAGCCAAGCAGCAAATGATACTAACTTGTGCAGTGTGTGTGTGTGTGTGTGTTGGTGATTTGAGTCCCAACTAAAGTCTTCTCATTTGCCCACTGTGTGGCGCCAATGAAGTTGATTTCTCCCCCAACTCTCTAAACCATGTAAGAGGGTAAGTCCGATCCATAACACCACGTCGGTCCCATCAGCTGAAGAAGCCAAACGCGACGTCTGTGATTAATGTTGTTGGGGCGGATTCCCTTGTTATCAGCAGCCAAACTGGGTGGTGGGGAGAGGGGGGGGAGTTGTGTTAGGACATCTGCATCTGCAAGGAGTCGACTGCTCAGAGCAACCAGTTTGCAACGAGTTAACCACTTTTTTTCCTTTAATGTCCTTTTTGGTGTTTTAACGCTGGGAAAAACGCTCCCCCACCCCACACCCCCCCACCCCCCACCCCCACACACACACACACACAGCTCCCAAGAGGAGCAGTTTCGAGTTCACTTTCCGACAGTGAGCAGCAACCCCCAGTCCCCCCCCACACAAAAAAAACTCCAAACACGACCCTGCCCATGTCACTGTGCAACCAAAGCACATTACCCACAGAGAGAGAGAGAGAGACAGAGACGCGCAACACACGCACTGAACTGTTTGCATTGCAAACCGCAGAGAATGTTCCCTTCATTCAGAAAAGCGGAGCCCCTGTGCCATTGCGCACGGTTTCACTCGCACTGCCCGGCGACTGCTCCGCACTTGTCCTGCGAGCGAATCAAACTGCTAATGGCAGCCCCGCAAACCCCCCCCCCCCCTACTCCCCCCCCCCTACTCCCCCCCCCTACTCGTTAACCCACTCGCAATCGGATCGTCCGAGGTGAAGGTCTCAGTTTGCATTTGTTTTTTTTAAATTTTTTCCGTTTGACTGGCGATGTACTTTGCATTGCAATTCCGGGATACACATTCATTCCCACCCCCACCCCACCACCCCCCACCCACACACACACCCCTCCATCGCAAGGTGCTGTGCGATGGGTACCAGCCCCCGGGGGGCTGTGTGCTGTCTGCTGTCTGGGCAGCAAAAATAACACATCAATTGCCTCTCCTCTCTTTGCTTTGGGGGAAGCTTGGGCAGACGTTCAAGACGTAATTTTTTTTTTGGGGGGTGGTGGTGGGGGGGGGGGGGTACTTGGCTTTTCGACCAACGCGAAGGGAATTTGTGTTCCTTTTTAATATTCTCTGCGTCGAAGCTTCTCTCTCTCTCTCACACACACACTCGCTCTCTGTGTCTGTGTGTGTCTGTCTTTCTTTCTCTGTGTGTGTGTGTCTCTCATTCTGTCTCTCTCTGTGTGTCTCTCTATGTGTGTCTTTCTCTGTGTGTGTGTGTGTCTCTGTGTGTGTGTGTCTCTGTCTCTGTGTGTGTGTCTCTTTCTTTCTCTCTCTGTGTGTGTCTCTCTGTCTATGTGTGTGTCTCTGTGTGTGTGTGTCTCTTTCTCTGTGTGTGTGTGTGTCTCTTTCTCTCTCTGTCTGTCTCTGTGTGTGTGTGTGTGTCTTTCTCTCTCTCTCTCTCCGATGGCAATTAGAGAAGCAATGAAATCCTAACGTAACTTTGGACCGGGTTCTCCTATTATTTCGCTGCAAAATTTAAAAAAAAACACCAGACGAGCTATTTTAGTTTTGCTTTTAATCTCTCCCCCACCCCCCCCCCCTTCCCAAGGTAACACGGTTCAACTGATGCACTGCTTGTCTTGTCTGTGGCTGGAATGATTTAATATGAGGCCATTTACAACGTTGATCATTTTACCTGAGCAATTTCCCCCCCCCCCCCCCCCCCCTCTGAAATCCATTTCACTTTACCTGGAGGATTCTTTTTTTAATGGCAGGGCATTACTCAATCACATATTACAGGCGCCACTTCAGTTTTATTGATCACCCCAGTTCCGACAGACACCACCGCAAAAGACCCTTTGCATGCATATATTAACCATTCAAATAATAATCATAAATAATAATAATAATAATAATAATCTCACCGAGATTGATGCAGATCGAAAAAAAAATATTGCTGAATCATTTCGACTCTGACTCGGGGATGCAAGTCGACCATTGGTCGGGATGCGATTAAACATGGAATATTACATTTTGTATCCACGGACCATAAATAAATCAATTCAAAGTGACTTTTAATGCAAAACGGTGGAGACGCTTTCACCCACAATAGAGCGGCAGCACTTTCCTTCCAAAGGGTAGGTACCAAAAAAAAAAGGCTCCAAAACTTATTGCGGGCTTTACTGATTAAAAACTTTAATTATATTAGATTAATCTGCCTTTTAATTAATTTGCCATTACAAAACCTGAATTCGCAAACTGCTGTTCCCTCTCGTTTGTGCCTGGGTTCGTTACGAATGCAAAGTCACTACACCTTGCATGGGGGGTGGGGGGGGAGTTGAGGGCACTGACACAAGTTCCCTTAAAAAAAACCATCCAAAAGGTCAATTGCAGAAATTACGTGTGACATTAAAGGCGTCGAGAAGTTCTCCACGACTCGCTCTTATCAAATGTAAGGGATTATTATTCATAATACATCTGTGCACTGCTAATATTTGTCAAATAAAATTAATTCCGTGGCGTGCCAGCTGATGAAAGAAGGCATTTCCATTCGGTTTGCCTACAAATAACTTGGTGTGAGAAATCTCATTCTCATCTTAAGTTTCCTTGATTAACCCCAGATTCTTACTTCTTAGCTATATATATATATATATATATATTTAAACAAACACTGTATATATATATATATATATATTTAGAAAGACTCCGGGTCCTGGTTCCACTTCAGCAGTGGATCTGTGTTCATGTGAAACTTTAATTCGAAAAGAAAACGTAACATTTTGTAAAACAACCATCTCTTTGTCGAGGTAAACGTGAAAGCGATGCAAATTAAGACGAGTCTCCGGTTTGTAAGGCGGCTTAGTTCTCTTTTTAAGGCCGTCTGCAATGAGTCCTTTTATATATATATATATATATATATATATCTATACCTATATATATACATATTAAAAAAAAGGCTCGACATAACCAGTGTGTTCTGAGTTTGGGCTGAGGTTCATCTTTTTGCTAATGTTTACCGAGGGGGTGTTTTTTGTTTGTTTGTTTGTTTGTTTGTGGTGGATGTTGTTTGCAATTCTTCCTATTGATGCATCTGCCTTTACCCTTGTTTGAAAATACGAAACAACACACATACACACACATCCTACTTACATGCAAAACACAACACACACACACATGCATGTTTACCCACACTCACACACACACACACACACACACACACGCGCGCGCACAGGCACATATATCATCTTTTTTTTAAAAAAAAATATAATAAAAAAAAGAAAAAGGCTCCACCTCCTTTGTTGGGGAGCCACAAGGAATGTGGGGCTCACATCCTCCGCCGCAGTTCGCCGAAGGGCTTTGGAATAGAAATTCGTGTCCGTTTCCATGTGTCAATCAGGTGCGGCGCCTTCGCTGCCATTGGCCGAGGAGCCGCGAGTCCCGGGACTCAGTCGCGCTGAACGGAGCCGACGCTGATCAGTGGCACTTTGCGATCGCATCGTGTGTGTGAGTGTGTGTGTGTGTGAGAGCCTCGTACCGTCTGCAGCCAAGAGTTTCTCTCTCTCTCTGTCTGTCTCTCTCTCTCTCTCTCTTCTCTCCTCTTTCTCTCTCGCTGTGTCTCTGAGTCTCTCTTCTTCTTCTTCTTCTTCTTCTTCTCTCTCTCTCTCCATCTCTGGCCCTATTTCTCTCAAATAAAAACTTCCATCGGGAAGAGAACTGGAATTTGCATCCCCCCCCCCAAAAAAAAAAAAAATCCTGCCTCTCTGCCTCTCTGCCCGCAGCTCCCTGTACACCTTCTCTTTTTTTTTTGGTGGTGGGTGGGTGCTTGGTGGGGAGAGAGGGGGGTTTTCGGGGGGGGTGGGAAACCCTTTCTCCCCTGGATGTGTAGAGATTTGGACCACGGTTAGTGGGTGTTGGAAGTGACTGCTGCTGCAGATACAAGATCCAAGGTTAAGCTGCACATCAGTTTCTGAGCTTTTTTTTTTGCAGCGTGAAAGCTCGAGGTTTGGTTTTCTTTTTGCACCTTATTCCCCATCACCTCCCCTCCCCTCCCAACCCCAACCCCAACCAACCCAACCGTACGGACCTTTGCAAGGTGAGCAGAAACATTTTTTTTACACACACACACACACACACACACACGTATTTTATCTTAATTGGGGAATGGGGCAGTGAACGTCTTAAAGCATTGGAGGGTTTTCTCTCTCTCTCTCTCTCTTTCTCTTTCTTTCTCTGTCTCTTTCTCTCCCTCTCCCTCTCTCTCTCTCTCTGTGTGTGTGTGTGTGTGTGTGTGTGTATATGCATATGTGCTTCATCACCTCAGCCACAATGAGCTGTTTGCAATGAATCCGAAACTCAACAGGTACCGATCGGGGATGGATTTGATACTGCTGCTGCTGTCCTTGCTCCTTTGGGCTCGGGGCGCCGCCGTTATTAACCTGAAATACTCCATCGTGGAAGAGGAGAGAGCCGGGACCCTCATCGGGAATATAGCGAAGGACGCCGGGTTCGCAACTTCGGAGCAGAAGGTGCCCATTTTCCGCGTTCTGTCCAATTCCGCCCCTCACTTGATAGACATCAACCCATCGACCGGTTTGCTGGTGACCAAGCAGAAGATCGACCGGGACCTGCTCTGCAGACAGGGTTCCAAATGCCTGATCTCGCTGGAGGTGATGGTCAACTCCATGGAGATATGTGTGGTCAAGGTGGAGATCCTGGACGTCAACGACAACGCGCCGAGTTTCCCCACGGAGCAGATCGACCTGGAGATCTCGGAGACGGCCAGTCCCGGGACCAGGGTGCCCTTGGAGAGCGCTTACGACCCAGACGCGGGCCAATTCGGGGTCCAGAGTTACCAGATCACCCCCAACGACCTGTTCGGTTTGGAGATCAAGACCAGGGGCGACGGATCTCGCTTCGCAGAGCTGGTGGTGGAGAAGGAGCTCGACCGAGAGACCCAATCGCACTACAGCTACATGATCACCGCCCTGGATGGAGGAGACCCTCCCAACTTCGGGACCACCGAACTGAACATCAAAGTCATCGACTCCAACGATAACTACCCGGTGTTCGACGAGCCGTCGTACGCGGTGAACGTGTTGGAAAACGCGCCCACCAACTCGCTGGTCATCGACCTGAACGCTTCGGATCCGGACGAAGGGACCAACGGGGAAATCGTTTACTCCTTCAACAGCTACGTGTCCGACAAGACCAGGGAACTCTTCAAACTGGACCCCAGGAGCGGGGCGATCACGGTGAGGGGTCACATCGATTACGAGGAGGGCAGCATCTACGAAATCGACGTCCAAGCCAAGGACCTGGGTCCCAACTCCATCCCCGCTCACTGCAAAGTCACCGTCAACGTGGTGGACGTGAACGACAACGTCCCCGTTATCACCCTCTTCTCGGTCAACAGCGAGACGGTGGAGGTGAGTGAGGCGGCTCCTCCGGGCTACGTGATCGGTCTGGTTCGCGTGTCGGACCGGGACTCCGGGGCGAACGGTCGGGTTCAGTGCAAACTCTTGGGCAACGTCCCGTTCAAGTTGCAGGAGTACGAGAGCTTTTACACCATCCTGGTAGACGGGCGGCTGGACCGGGAGCAGAGGGACCAGTACAACTTGACCATCTTGGCCAAAGACGGGGGCTCTCCTTCGCTGCAGTCCACCAAATCCTTCACCGTCAAGATCACGGACGAGAACGACAACCATCCCCACTTCTCCAAACCTTTCTACCAAGTCATCGTCCAGGAGAACAACACTCCGGGTTCCTATCTGCTCTCGGTCTCCGCCAGGGATGTCGACCTGGGGCTGAACGGGAGCGTCTCCTACCAAATCGTCCCATCCCAAGTCAAGGACATGCCCGTGTTTACCTATGTGTCCATCAACCCCACCTCTGGGGACATCTACGCCCTGAGGTCCTTCAACCACGAGCAAACCAGGTCCTTCGAGTTTAAGGTCATGGCCAAGGATGGGGGGAGTCCTGCCTTGGAAAGCAACGCCACCGTCAGGGTGATAGTTCTGGACGTCAACGACAACGTCCCGGTCATAACGGCCCCACCTCTGGTCAACGGCACCACCGACATCTACATCCCCAGGAACGTGGGGTCGGGGTATCTGGTGACGGTGCTGAAAGCCGACGACTACGACGAAGACGACAACGGGCGCTTGACCTACCAGATCGCCGACGGCGACCGAGGCTTCTTCGAGATCGATAAGGTCAAGGGCGAGATCAAGACCATCAGGAGCTTCGGGGACGGGGCCGAGACGAGTTACGAGTTGATCGTGGTCGCCCAGGATCACGGCAAACCCGCCCTGTCCTCCACAGCCTTGATCATGGTCTACCTCTCCCCGGCCCTGGACGCCCAGGAATCCACCGGCTCCTTGAACCTGTCCCTGATCTTCATCATCGCCTTGGGGTCCATCGCCGCCATCCTCTTCGTGACCATGATCTTCGTGGCCGTCAAGTGCAAGCGGGACAACAAGGAGATCAGGACCTACAACTGCAGGGTGGCCGAGTATTCCTATGGGCAGCAGAAGAAACCCAAGAAGAAGAGCAAGATCAGCAAGAACGACATCCGACTGGTACCCAGGGACATGGAGGAGACCGACAAGATGAACGTGGTCAGCTGCTCGTCGCTCACCTCCTCGCTCAACTACTTCGACTACCACCAGCAGAGCCTGCCCCTGGGCTGCAGGAGATCCGAGGCCACTTTTCTCAACGTGGAGAACCAAAACTCGAGGAACGCCGCCGGGAACAACGTGTACCACACCTTCACCAGCACTCAGGGCTCCCAGCAGCCAGACCTGATCATCAACGGGATTCCCCTGCCGGAGGTGAGTGCTGGGGTGGGGTGGGGGGTGGGGTGGGGTTGGGGGGAAGGGGGGTCCTCTCTCTCTCTCTCTCTCTCCATCAAAGCTCAATCGTGCATTCAACCCAGAAGTCGGGAGAGCAGTGTGTGTGTGTGTGTTGTGTGTGTGACAGCTGCAGCTTTTCTTCTTTCAATGGACCAGTCTGGTCGGTTTCAACGCCTGTAAACCCATTACTGTGCAACACTTGTCAAGGATTCCAGGCTTGGATAGGGATGGGGGTGGGGGGATGGGGGGGGGAGGAACATGGCGGTGGGGGTTATTGCAGTTATCGTAAAATGCGAATTGCTCCACTTTCAAAAGAACTGGAGGGCGCAGACGTGTCAGTGGAATGATATATTACTGTATTGACTGGTCAGTAAACTGCTGAATGTGGTGCGCCTTTAGATTCAGTGCCACGTTTAACCAGAAATAGGATCACACTTTTAATTCACATTAATAACCGATCGGCCGACCCCCTGTGTTTTGTTTCTAGGCATGAAATCTCAGCATGTGTGTGTGTGTGTGTGTGTGTGTGTGGGTGGGTGGGTGGGTGGGGGGGGGGGTGTCAGGTTCACCTATTCTTTGTGAATCAATGGAGTTGAACGCTGCTTAAAGTCTGGTTTGGTGCTTTGAAATTTTGATCCGTTTAATGTGAGACTGAACAGGAGCAACCGGTTGCTTGTCTACTGGTTATGAAGAGTTGGATGATAGGATCCATCCTGTGAGTTGAACAGACCGTCTCCCAAGGAACATTCACTTGCCATGATGTTGGACACTGCCCCTCGTGGCTCAAATCACAGTGAGGGGAGGTGGGGGCAGATGAGAAGTTAGAGTACTTAGAACGTTTTTCACTTGATTAAAACCTAGTGGTGAAATGTGCATTAAACTGTACCAGAACTCAGTAAAAAAGCACTGAATCGCAAATGGAAATGCAAAGGGTTAGTGGGATCTCTCAGAGGAGAGTGGAAAGAGTTTGGGAGAAAAAAAACCAAGTCATGCTAACAAGCAATCTTGAGAGTACAGTGAGAGAATATTGAGTTTTTTTTAAAAAAAAAGCTTTAAAAAAAACAGAAACGACCAAAAGAGGAAAAGAAACAAATGTTGAGTGTTTTCCCAACAATTGGTAAGAATGTTAAGAAAAGTTTTCGGAAACCTGATGATGGATGCAAGAGTTCCTTATCAAGCAAAACAAATTAGGAAACTGCAAAGAAAGTTAGAAATGAGAGACTATATGAAACGAAATAAGTAAAAGAAATGCATTTTTTTAAAAAACGAGTCAATGACTGCGGTTGTCGCAAAATGACTGCAGTTATTGCAATTCATAATTGTTAAATCTATTGAAGGTTGTTATGCATTTGAGAAGTATGACAGATGACCTTATGAAATTGCTTTCAAAGCCATGAGTGGGAGCTTAATGTAATTTAACTAGTGGCAGAAGTGTTTGAATATGTGAGTGCGCTATACACACCAAAAAACACTCACTGTTTCTCCAAAATGGGATATTAGCTCCTGAAATTGTAATTGCTATTGACAATCAAGGGATTCCCAATTCAATCACCAAAGCAAATTCTACTCTTCAGGGAGAACATTTCGCAGGTGTTTTGTGTGGTCTGATCAAAATTGAGCCGCAATTTGTGGTGATTTCAGTGCTCTTTTACCCTGAGAATGCAGGCACCCAAAGTCTGAATATTAGGATACTCAAAACTTTGGCTCAGGAAAGAACAGATATCTAGAACTTTCACCTTCCTTCCTCAACATCAATACAGGTTTGCTTCGGTAATATTGAAAGGGCAGTTGAGAAAGATAATCCTTGCATTCAATATAGTGCCTTTCATGTCAGGAGGACGTCTTAAACCGCTTCGAAGGATATACTGTAAGGTGCAGTGATTATGCAATTTGTAGATAAATAATTGAGCCACCTCCTCTTTCATCAGGCAGAACTAAAGATTAGTTTCATGTAATTAATACAATTAGTGCGGGGCCAAGCTTTAATTCTGACTACCAGCTGCTTTGTAAACTGCTTTCAAAGAAGCCGCTCTACAAAATATTTTTACAGTGCTGACTACTATGAAGTAGAGTGACAGATGTGGAGCTTCATTGGTAGAGATGTCTGAACAAGCAGAAGTCTTCTGGTTTTGACGCAGTGAAGCTGCAGCTCTTCTCAAAGGGTTAAGCGTCACACATGGCACAGAAGATTGGCAAGTGGGCTGCCACAATGCGTTTCTGACATTGATCTCATTCTTTAAGATGGTATTGCTGGAAATCAATAACATGATTAGTGGCAGATCGAATATCCCCACACCTCCCTACAAACATTATTATTCTGCACAGCCACCCCCCTGCCAAAGACAATGTTAGTTTGATTTACCTTGAGGGGCACAAGCTACCCCTTGCATATGACAAAGCAGCAGTGTGTGTAGCCCTGTAGCAGGAAAGTCAACAGAACTCACCAGTGTTCCGCTCAGGCAGCTGCTCTGCTGTGAGCTTTTCAGCCCATTTTCTCTTGATCTGTCCCTATTACAATGATGACAATAGCTCAACAGAAGACAGCATTGATTTTACATCGTACAACATTGTGCGACCCCTATCGCCCGGGTGATGCACTGTTACCAAACCCATCTCTTAACCACTTTGCTAAAGGAAGATATTAACACCTAGTTGAAGGCACTCTTTGCTTTTAGGCATTTGGATTAATTACCGTCTCTTTGAAAGCAAGCTTAGAATGTTTTATTTGCAGCATCATGCAGTGTTCAAACTCATTCAGATTAGTAAATCACAGTGGTTTATTTCAGAAACATGCCATGTTACTGTAGCATTCTATCACACCCTAGCGCCTAACCACACTGTTTTCTTTATAGGTGGAATGCAATTGCTGTAACACAGTGTTTAAGCAACATGAAGTGAAATCAGCATAATGATGATGTGCTTATCAAAAGATGCATTATATAAATGTACGATAACACAGGTTTGATGCTCAGCCTTCCTGAGTTCCTCATGTTGGGGGCTCATGCATGTTGAACACATAGTTTGAGAGGGTTGAGGGTATCAAATACTGAATACAAGTTAGTAATATGCTTCTGAGATATTGGAAAATTGAGTGGAACATCTCTACTGTACTTCACTGCGACATGAGAGCGTATTGTATAATATTGCCCGGGAAAGATGAGAAGACCAGTGAAATCCAGAGAAAAAGGAGGTACACATACCAGTATCGAATTTCTGAACCATATAGGGATATAAAGGTGCTGTGTGATTATGAGGGGTAATCTGATTTTTGACTGACATTGTCAAAGATGATGCATGGAATGCTCAATGGAATTTGTACCTAAGAACATTAATTCTTCAGCACATTCCATAGTATTCACACATCATTTTATTCAGAAACACTGCAAATAAAGATCGAATCTTGGTCCCACCTGGAGAACCTATTGGCACTATGAATGAAATGAACTGCAAAAAGGTCTTTCTGTTGAGCTTTGATGTTCTCAGTCTCAAAATCCCACTGTCTCAGTTGGTGTTTAATATTGATGTAAACACAATTTGTAACATCAGGCAGGGAAAGGCGTCAATAATTAGTCAAACATCCAAGAAACATGTTTAAATCAGAGAGTGTAGAATAACCTTTGCTGTTTTTTCCTGTGAGTTTCTGCTGCTGTTTGTATTGCAAAACATGATGCAAGTGAACAACCATTACTTGAGCTGGTTTTACGCATCTTTAGCTGTCTGGATTTTGTAATCTGAACCACTCAATCTGTAGATTTACTGCTTGGATTACATTTTTATTGTTTTGTTCAAGGAAGGTGCTGTAGGCATGTTACAATTATCATTCATCAAGATAAGAAACAGGCAAAACTCCCACAGGGATGGATTACAATATAGGTTGTTGACCCGTTAAAGGCAGCAAGACGATGTTGTGTGGAGTGAGTGAGTACAACGCACATTCTGCGAGCATTAGAAGGGTGAAAAAAGATCCATGCTGTTCAGTGATGTGTGGCACACCCATGGGCAGAATGTATGGCATGCAGGTCTGTAGTAAAGGCCCATTGTTATCCAAATGACATGTTTGCATAATCTGTGTAACAGCTTGAAATAGGGCAATCTACCCATAGCAATAAACCCCTTCAATGCTTGTAGTTGACTAAAAAACTGTGTTTAAGGAATCGGGTGAGACCCTTTGCAATGAATGTAGGTGCCATTGGTAAAAGGGGAGGAAATATGGTCCAGGGTTTAACAAAGTGGCCTCAATAACAATAATAATAAATCCTTCCATTTGATATGGCACCTTTCTACGTTGTTGTGAAGTATCAGAACACTTCACAGAATATGAAGCGTTTTGCAAATATTGTAAAGTGAATTGACTGTATTTTGTGTGTGAATAGGAACAATAGTCACACTGCTCAGAATGCCAGATAACTGAGTTATTATGGCTGATGTATAATCGAAAGGTAACACCACGGAATGTGTACAAAAAGATCTGGGGTATAGTTTTGTCCCCAATACTTACAGCAGGCCACTCATGGGAGCAAATTGCTGTTACTTATCACTAGTTCACTTGGTAAGCATTTCTTGCTTTAAAACGTAATTAAATAGCTACAAGCTCATAAAAATAAAGCTCCTTGTGCACTTAAGAGTAATAATGAAGATGAAGGACGAAGCACTTTTCGTGACATCGCTGTATTTCATTTCTCTGTTTGGTGCAGCGGAATATCCCGAGTGTTAATCTGAGGTTAGGATTTCACTGGCAACTCTCACGCTGTAATAACCTAAATTCAATTCCACTGAACTTTGAAAACTAACATGAATTGTTTGAGCTTTGATACTCTATTCTATGCATGTCTGTGACTTGTTTCTTCTGTGGTGGATTCCCAGGATAGACTCTATTGGTGGGTGGGGGTCATTGAGGAGGCTGCAGGAACTTCTATGGGGTGAAAAATAAGCAGGATTGTTAAATCCGAGGATTGGTTCCGATCCTAAACCCCAAACCC